GTCATGGGACGGAGTCTTAAATGCTACGGCAACAAGATGTTGGTGCATTTAGGGATGACGTGAGAGAAGATTGACTAGTTATTAATGTGTTCCCTTCCGCGCTTCAGGTAAGTTACAGAAATGGTTACAAATACAAGAGATTTTTATTTTTTATGAATTGTTTAAGTTGAAATTCCTCACTTAAATATATTAAGTTTCCTGTTACAGCTAGATTAATTTTAGATTACCGAAAAATTGCTCCGAATATTTGGCAGAGGATTCTCAATCGGATGCGCTGCACGGATGCCTTGTTAACGAAGACGATATAGTGGCCACGGCCAACTATCTTCTAGGAGTTATTGATTTTCTATTTAAAGAAGACAGCGCTGTTTTGGGTAATGCCTAAATCAAAGACAAACTGCTCGCAATGTAATGGACGCAAAAAAACATCGAATTCTTTAGTGGCGATCCCGAAAATGTTATCATATTTGGAGAGTCCATATATATATACAAAAAATTCGGATGGATTGCATCGGGCCAGAGTGGCTGTTCTTTAACCAAACTAACTCAGACTCAACTAAGTAGTCCTAAGAAGGCAGCCTATAAATCCATTAATTTCGTGAAAAGTTCTAAAATCTGAGACCTCTGCCTTCTACATTAGCACTGGCGGCTTACCGTTTGTAACAGATCTCGCTGGATTTATTGAAGTTAGTATCTACCCTACGCAGTTTTTACTTGGAATAACGGGTTGACGACGAAGTAATCTTTTCATACTAGAGATTATGAAACCATTGCTGAACCAAGCCGAAGTTCAGTCGAGCTATGCACCCGTGTACGTAATTTTAACAAAAGTAAAATAAAAAAAAATAATGCTTAATGGCAGTCGCTGAAAAAACAGATCTTAGCAAACACTTACTCTATCTTTTTAATGTCCAAGAATGTCCCTTGACTTCGTGCCAACAATTCCTGACCAGAAATAGAATGACCAGAATTTGGGCCAATTTCCCGAAAAAGATCTTTTAGGACTCAACATAACTTGGCCTCAATTTTCCGGATCGATTATCCCGTACCTGAATATAAACGAAACTATAGAAATAAAACCCGTCAAAAAGCACAAAGAAACGGGAATGTGGAACTACGTTTACTACAATTACGGAGAGCAATCTTTTAGGGGATTCTGAACCAGCGACATTGTGTGGAGTTAAAGTTATTGTTTCATTAACCAGCTCCTATACCAACCAGCACATATACTAATTTTTATTCCTCCATATCTCAGAAAGTGGTCATAAAATAATAACGAGACTCAACAGGCAATGCAGTTTTATGATTGAAGTGAACACCTACTAAATATTCTGAAAGAAGTTCGGATATACCGAAAGTTTTGCAGGCCTCAGTGTTATTACCATGCATTAGTAAACATAAGATTTATAATCACGTTCTATAATATATAATAACTACGGATAGTAGTCATTATATTTACAATTTTTCCACCGCTGCCCGAGAGAAACACACTGGAAAAGATCCTTTTGAGAGTCGTTGAGCCTTAACAAAACTTTTTATTAGGCATAAACATGATTCATTCCTACTCCTCCAGGATTATAGTTAGCATTATATAAATTATTAACTAAAATTAACCAAGATTTTCTCTGAGATTTGAAAGGCTTGGTTTATTCCTAATACGAAGAGCCTCTCCAAATTCAACGAAGTCGACCATGTCATCACTAAACAAAATTAGGTCAAAATATTTATTACTACACTTCGCAGTGTTATAGCACTGCCTAAACTCACAGAAATTTCAAAAGTTCAGAAAGACTTTACTTTTCCAGTCAATCAACTCATCATTTCGTTTTCGGTTTATGAGTTCCCGATTCTATCAAAAACTATTCAAGTCAAGATCTTTGGCTTCGGGAGGAACATATAGAAGCCCTAGATAATATTCACCCTATCATTATTTCATTATATCAGTTTTTCAGTTTCACCAGCACCAGATTATTCCCGTTAACCAATCAGGACATAAAGCGCAGCATAGCTGCACTACAGCTCTACTGCATATAACCGATGATATATTTATGGCTACAGATGAACGCAAGTTGACACTATTAACCATTTTAAACTACTCGAAGAATTTTGATACTCTTAACGACCAAATCTTTATTTCAATGTTAAATATTATTGGGTATTCAGAAAACGTAGTTAATATTTTAGCTTCTCACCCACAGCAAGAATATCAAACAGTAAAATATAATGGTGTAACTTCTTCATTCATACGTTACTAAAGGTATAGCAATCATATTGATAGGTGCCAAGTAGTCACTTTTGAGCTTTCGAGATATTCGATTTTCTTGAATCAATTCTTTGTATTTAGCTTGAAAAAGCCAACAACTACCGCCATCGTAGGAAGGTGCTACAAAGGGAGAACCTGGTATGTTTCTTTCAGAAAGATCGCATCGAAAGTTTATTCTTTCATTTTTTTATCGCCCGTGCTGGATAGCATCCAGATCAATTCCAACCTTAATACTTTCTAATTTTACTGTTTCCATGTTATTCTGTCTACCTTAGAGTAAGTCGATTTAATTTTTCATAGTAGACAAATTTCCCGTCAGATTTCCGCTGAAGGATCTCTTTTCGTATCTTATTGACCAAATCGTGGGAGGAGGGGGGAGGGGAGTAGTTCCAATTACAGTAAACAATTTCAGATGTTAATTATGATGTTCTTGTATTGCTTGATTTCTCAAAGGCATTCGATACAATTTACCAGTAAATTTTGCCAAATCTTATTTTTGTGAAAGGTAACAAAAAATCTCTATTTTTTTTAATCTACGCTTCAGAGCTTCTTAGGCAAGGAACATCTCGGGCAAGTTGCGAATCTATTAAAGGATCTTTCTGAGCAACATGGGCTAGAACTGATTGCCTCGAAATTTAAATAACTGCTATTTGGGAAGAAGACAAATCTCAAATTTTAGAATCAGTTGCCACAATTTAACGTTTAGGGAGCCAGCAGGTAACTTGGTCGTCATTTTCTAATTTACATTGGCCGAGGCAATCGTACTCTCTGATTTTGTTAATACAAGAATCATCTACGGCCCCGATCTTCGGCAGTCGGTGCATTATGCCATTCAAAAGGTGAAAATCGGATCATATATCACATAAAATAAGTAAAATTCAGCCGTTGAACATTTTTATCGGGTTGTTTTGTCCATTGTTTAGTAAAAAGCGTTTTTATAATTCTAGAAAGTTTTAAAAATAAATTTAAGCTGATCTCTGATATGCATAACAGAGATACCAGTAATAAATTAAAATTATTAATACCGATGCACAAAACAGCAGCATCAAGAAAAACTTTTACTTTCAACGAACTTATGCCATGTGTTTTAATAAATCACAATGCTGAAAAATTCAAAGCTCTTTTAAAAATTCATTTATTCAACAAGCAGGTGAGTCTTGTGACTTGTTGCAAGGGTAGTAGGTATGAATCACATGTAAAAATTGGTTTATTTATTTATTGGTGTCTGTTACTAGGCACAGTAGATAAGGATGTAATAATGCATACTTTGGTCAAAACTTTAGAGAGATGTTTTATTTCTTTTTGGAATATTATTTATCTTAATTGACGTATATTTAAATTTACGCGCTATCTATATAAACTAGGTTTCCTTTTGTTTCCTTTAAGTTCTAGCTTTAGTTTAGACATCGCTCTGTATATATTTATATTTATCATAAATTTATACTTTTATTATTATCAGTAAAGTCGACCATTACTTTTTTCGTACCTTCAATTTGCTTGGAAATAATTTTATAACAATTCCTTGGTGAATGTTTTATTTTCAACATACAACCGTGATACAAAAAATTCAAACCAAATTTTGAAAATGATCCGTGTCGAAAAAGTACCATATCATTTTACATTCTTTTCGAAAATTAATTTAAAAATTGCTTTGTTTTGAAAAAAAAAATGTCATGTCGTATGAGGTCTTATCAAATCGTGGTATTTATTGACCGATTGAAATTTTGACAAAATCACAAGAATGAAACAATGTAATCTCTAATCACCGGTATGAATATTTTCTTGGTCAGATAACACTTTCAAGCGAACACGAGGACCACTACGCATTTTTTTCAATTAAACAATTATGTTTAGAAAAAAAAATCATTGTCCACCGCAAAGATAAACAGATTAATTTTAAGTTGCGCGTGTATCATGACCCAAAATATGTCATTCTTGTTTGCAAAATAACTTATTTAATGGTTTATCAATTTATTAGTCATGGAAAAAAAATATTAATGTCGACCTTTGATATTATTGAGATAATTTTAATTCTTAATGATGTGCGACTTTTTGTCAAGTACTTGGTTCCAGATGAATAGAACAAGAGTGTTTCCTTGGTGAAATTCGTCAACCTGATTCGGTATCATGAGAAAACACTTTTAATATGACACGAGGCTGTCAGCGTTATTTATAATTAGCAACAGATTTTTTCCCTTAATAATAATTATTTATAGCAAAAAAAGAACATTTTCAACCAAAGAGATCGTTTTCAAATAAACTGCAGGACATACATTGTGGACTGTTTTCAGAAGCCCATGTTTGAAAAACAAACAAAAATTTCGGTATCTCGGAAATTTGTTAAAAAAAAATTAATCATTGTTGTCCTTCGCAGTTCTATTTTTTTTAGCATTTGTGAAAAACTTTCTTTATCAAAATTTGACTTTACTGTGTCTGGGGAAGATCTATTTTTCGTTTTGCTTTTCTTCAATTTTAGAATGCATTTATCATATTAATTGAAAGCTTTTCCCCTGATTTCGTGCGGTTCAAAACAGCAGTAATTACGGAAAGTTCAAAGATTCAAACTAACAAAAATGTCAAATTTTAGAAAAATATTAATTGGTTTCATTAAAATACGAAAAAAAAGTGATTACGTCTCTCAAATATTTCTGATATTGTGTCAATATCAGATATGCCTGATATCAAGAATGAAGTGTTGGATATTTCTATATAAATAAAATGAAAACAAAACCTCAAAACAATGAAACTAGCAATGCATCGATACGTGGCTACAGTTGCCTTTTTTGCTGCGTCCGTGGTAAGACAACAACCCTAAATATAACCATTTGTAGTTCAATTGTTTATGTTTGTCTACAGTGCGCAGATCTAGTGGTCGACCTTCCGGACGGCAGTATTCGCGGCTCTGAAATCAAAGCCGAAAATTACAGTTACTACGCTTTTCGAGGAATTCCATTCGCAGCACCTCCACTAGGAGAGCTGCGTTTCCAGGTAAAAATATTAAACTGACACCCAGCATATTTTGCTAATTGTATATTGCAGGCCCCCGTACCGAACGAGCCATGGGAAGGAGTTTTAAATGCAACGGCAACAAAAAGCTGTTGCATACCGATGTCTGTTGGTGGAAATGGAGATGACGTGAGCGAAGATTGTCTGTTTATTAACGTTTTTACTCCTGCACGTAACGTAAGTTTGATCATTTCAACAGTATAAATAGTCAAGCTATCATATTTAATGAACTCAATCAAAGATGCTAAGGAGCGAAAAGTTTCATCCTACAGTAACATTGTTCTTAGATTACGGAAAAATTGCCGGTCATGTTCTCGATATTTGGGGGAGGATTCTCAATCGGGTGCGCCTCAGATCGTATTTACGGACCATATCCCCTTGTTAACGAAGATGTCATATTGGTGACGGCCAACTATCGTTTAGGAATATTTGGTTTTCTATCTACCGAGGACAGCGTAGTTTTGGGTAACGCCGGAATTAAAGACCAGCTGCTAGCTATGCAATGGACGCAGAAAAACATCGAATATTTCGGTGGCGATCCCGAAAAAGTTACCATATTTGGAGAAAGTGCCGGCGGTATGTCCGTTGGTGTCCACATTGCTAACAAAAAATCGGAAGGCTTGTACAGGGCAGCGATATGCCAGAGTGGTTGTTCTTTAGTGAACCTAACCCAGACTCAGCCAGACAGTCCTAGGAAGGCAGCTTACGATATTGCAAGATCTGTAAACCCACTCATTTCTGCTACGAGTACAACGGAGGAAGTCAGAGATTTCCTGCAAAGCCTTCCGGCCGATACATTGGTGCAGGCATTCCAAGCGAATCCTCAAGTTAGTATCTCCGATACAATAAGTTTATTTATGGAAGGTTCCAATTAACAATCCAATAATTTATTCACTGTGTGTTTCAGACCGGACCGGTAATCGAAGTACCAGACGAAGACGCGTACATCACGGATCTTAGCTTCGGGCTTTTGGAAACAGGCAATTTCAACCAAGTTCCTGTCATAATCGGTACCAATTCGGCGGAATCACTTCCTTTTGTAGCTCGTAGGTGAAAAAATCAAAAATCAGCCAGTCATCTCACCCATACTGTTTTAGTGACACGCGGATTGCTTCTTTTGAGTGCTCTATTGCACGATACGGTTCCGTCAACAGTTGTACCTCCAAATCTGGGACCTCTGACTTCTGTTGAACAAGACGAAGTAGTAGCTTTGATAAAAAAAGCATACACTGGCGGTTTACCGTTTCTTGCAAATCTCGCTGGATTTATTGAGGTTAGTATTTCGAAATGTAGTTTTGACTGGAAATAACGACCAAATGATCTTTTCAGTACACTAGCGATTATATGTTTGTGAAATCGTCCCTGAAGCAAGCTGAAGTTCAGTCCAGCTATACACCCGTATATTTTTATGAGCTCTCCTTCAGCGGTAACAACGAAATTCTTCATCCCACTATTGTAGAAGGTACTTAGCCTAATCAATCGTAAAGCGTAACATTATAGGTTGAATTGCAGGCGCCGGAAAAACCGGTCATGGCGAAGACATATTCTACCTTTTTGATATGCAAGATTTTCCGCTGACTTCGTACGAAGAATTCCGAACCAGAAGTAGAATGACCAGACTTTGGGCCAATTTCGCGAAAACTTTGTAAGAAGTCAATTTGGCTTAATGCTCGAATGTGAAAACCATCTATTTTAGGAATCCGACTCCGGATCCGTCAGATCCTGTGCTCAACATAACTTGGCCTCAAGTTTCCGGGTCGATTATCCCGTACCTGAACATAAACGATACTCTAGAAATAAAACCCGGCAAAAAGCAAAAAGAAATGGCAATGTGGGACTATGTTTACTACAATTACGGACAGCAACCGTTTAGGGGATTCTGAATCAGCTACGTCATTTTGTCTTAAAGTTATATTTGTTTTCATGAGTAGTGTTAATTTTATAAGAGCGAATAAATTCATTTAGCAAAATGTTTTTTATTTGTCGCGGCGCATTTTCGGTTTCGCATATAACGAACATTTAGACGAAATTGAAATTGGAATACTAGTACATACTCGATGGTCTATTAGAAAATATTTAAAGAGCTGAGACAGATATAGGAGAGATAAGCCTCAGATGTAGCTGTCAAAATTTTTTGGTCTACGCTACCTTTTCCAAGAGAGCTGGGGTATATAGGGAAATTCAGATTTTGAAATTTTAGTGAAGGATCCTGACAAGTAAAGTTGTCACCCAGAAAAAGGTCTGCTGACCGTTTCACTTTAAGTAACTGAATTTTTACGAAGGGTTCGTTGGACTCGTATTACACCAACTAGAATCCTTAATGCTGTTCCGAATACAGGGCGAATAAATTTAGTAAATAAAAGATAGCGTTTATTCTCATTTTTATCAAAACAAGTACAAATTGTAGCATCGCTTTAGACGCGTATTTGAGTTTCATAGTTATGTTTACTCTTATTCATCGTTTATCGAATAATTGCAACAAATTGTGTACTTAACTGAAACTAAGATATTGAAATTTTAATGATGATGGGTTACGGAGAACACAAAATGAACTGATGTTAAATATTGTAATTCTTATATTAAAAAGTGATTGTAAAAATTGAGATTGTTAGATAAAAGAATAGTTGTTGACGTCATATCTTAAATTTTGTTTCAAATGCCAACAAATTTTATTTTAAGAAAATTAAGGAAGTTGCTAAACTAGCACAATTTGTGTTTTGTAAACGCAGTAAGTGGTAATATTTGCTTCCAAATTGGAAATCAAGTCAGAGCCAACAGTACTGATAATGATGGATTAAATGATAGTATGTTAATATACTATTATCAAGGACACAGAAGGAAGAATGTGAATTATACAAAAAATTGTTTCATTTTTGATGTGTGATTTAGTGGGAGGGCTTTTTAAGCAAGTGAGAAACTCAATTTTCTACTAGCGAAACTATGATATGTTGCTTGGACTTGAGCAAATGGAGACGATATTCTATTGTTTTTTGAGGCATCATATTTAATAAATGTTAAACTTTATTAAATAAGTAAAGACACAGAAAGGAATAGGAGCAGCATACTGATGCAATGGACCAAGGACAGAGAGAACTCTGAAACTGGGACACATGACACCATCTTCCAAGCAGTCGCGCCACACTCGTCTGGGTCCCAGGACACTATGGAATCACAGGGAACGAGAGGATAGCAAAAAGTGGAGGTTGTCACACAAGTACATTACCTATCTGTCCTACCCCAGTACCCGACAGCTTCATTAAAAGTCTATTTGACCAGAATCTAGCAATATATTTCTCGATATGTGGCTTGAAGCTGAAAGTATGAAATACACTAAAGCCCTCTTTCAGGGACCGTCCAGGACTCTTGCTTCTAGCCTTATCGGGCTCAACAGGAATCAGCTATTTGGCTGATAACTGGACACTGGTCAACAGGAAATCAGGAACATTGGCATCATACAAGGAGTATTGATTAAAATTAAAACAAATTTTATATGTGTCATAAATTCATCTTCCCTTCAAAACAAGATGTCTACTAACCAAAAATAAAAGGTCTCATCAATTTTGTCCAGTTACCCATGAAATTTAAGATAAAATAAAAGAAAGTAGATTCGTGACATTGTTGTTGTTCAAAGTACTAAATATTCGAATAATGCACACAATACCTATAGTCCGATAATAATATTAATAATAGTAATTATTATTATTATTATTCTTCATTTGTGTAGTAGAACAATAGAAAAATCAGACTGTTACACACAGTTACTCACTTAACCACCCCAGGTAAAATAGTGAAATACTTATTCACTCTGTGTGGCCTATTCGCCAAACGCGAACCTTTAAACTTGAACGATAATATAGCTACATATCATCAGCATATTTAGATTTTAGATGTACTACAACCCCGATTAACCCCCCTTGTAATTTCTGAAAAATGTAAAAATTTGCCGCCAAAACACACTTTCTAGCTTCGCCCACTCATATAAGCTTTTTGTGTGTCTCATAGTTGTAAACAATAATAATTTTAAGCAGATGGTGTGACTTTCTTTTTCTGTTATTACTTACCTGTTAATATTATTCTAGCAAAGCCTTTATTGGCTTTTATTTAATAATTTAAATCAAATTTTGAAAATTATTTCGGAATAAAAAAAATATATTATTAGTAGCGAATAATGAAACTTTTAGGTATAGAATTCATTTAGTATCTGCTCGAAGTGTTCGAAGTGTTTTCGGAGCGCGAGCATTGAAGATTTTGGCGAAACGTCTGCAGGATTCCAGTCGGATGCAGGATTTGCAGGATTCCAGTCGGATGCAGGATTCCAGTCGTAGTTCAACGAGCGAACGGATGATATCCCGGAATATAGTGTCATCACATTTTTCCATCCGTGAATCAATACGTGAGAATATATATATATATATATATATATATATATATATATATATATATATATATATATATATATATATATATATATATGTCGGCCAATTGAAATTGACAAGCACGGCGTAACCGCTGTGAATCATATTTTTGTTATCAATACACAAATTCACATTCTGCGAAATATCTTGAAATTCGACCTATTGATCGGTATCTCTATATAAGGGGACAAGGGACACATAATAATTGTAAATTGTAAAAAAAATATGTTTTCGTCCTTGGTCTGTGATTTTGTGGGGGGAATTTTTCAGTAAGTGACCATTGAACAAAAATTTCAACATGTTATCTGTAGCAAATAACATGTTGAAAAATATTTCAAACTAAACTAAAAAAAATATTTTGTTCCTCTAGAATAATGAGATTCTTTCGTATAGAATTTATTTAACATGTAATTTTTATATATCTTTAGATAGCATTAGCATGGGAACACAGAGTAAGTCAAAATTCCTTTAAAAAATCTGCTTTTGTACTTGAAGTATGATTTTATAGGAGGACTCTTTTAGTGACCGGCTAACTCAAATTTCTCTTAAAGTAATATGTTTCCTAGACATACAAAAAGTTACGAGCCTCTTTATATTTTCTCCAGTGGGCATTGAAATTGGTGGCATAACCTATTGGTCAAACTATTGTTGAAATTTATAGAAGTATTGGAATATATTTGCTAGCTACAAACTAGTCGGTTAAATTAATGTAAAGTAGCATTTTTTTAAAAAACCTTGCATACGTCTCAAACGCTCGATTCCCACTTTTCTTAGAAACTGAAAAGGCTATAATGAATTTATCTTTTAAGCCAAAAATAAAGGAGTTGTTGAATTGTTGCTGAAGCTATTATCGAGGTTTACATTTATTACAAATTTATTGCATAATATCGTATAAAATAGTGCGTGAATCATGACCCAAAAACCCAATTTTGATTATAGTAGGGCTTAATTAATGACATCCGTTGTTATTGAATTATTTTTGCTTCATATAGCGTGCGATTCTTATCAAATACTGATTTGTATTTTTAAGCTCATTGAAACAGAACAATATTTTCTTGGTCGGATGTAGACGTGTCCTCGAAATATCATCCATTTATCAATTTATATATATATATATATATATATATATATATATATATATATATATATATATATATATATATATATATATATATATATATATATATATATATATATATATATAAATATATATAAATATATATATATATATATATATATATATATATATATATATATATATATATATATATATATATATATATATATATATATATATAAATATATATAAATATATATATATATATATATATATATATATATATATATATATATATATATATATATATATATATATATATATATATATATATATATATATATATATATATATATATATATATATATATATAAATTGATAAATGGATGATATTTCGAGGACACGTCTACATCCGACCAAGAAAATATTGTTCTGTTTCAATGAGCTTAAAAATACAAATCAGTATTTGATAAGAATCGCACGCTATATGAAGCAAAAATAATTCAATAACAACGGATGTCATTAATTAAGCCCTACTATAATCAAAATTGGGTTTTTGGGTCATGATTCACGCACTATTTTATACGATATTATGCAATAAATTTGTAATAAATGTAAACCTCGATAATAGCTTCAGCAACAATTCAACAACTCCTTTATTTTTGGCTTAAAAGATAAATTCATTATAGCCTTTTCCGTTTCTAAGAAAAGTGGGAATCGAGCGTTTGAGACGTATGCAAGGTTTTTTAAAAAAATGCTGCTTTACATTAATTTAACCGACTAGTTTGTAGCTAGCAAATATATTCCAATACTTCTATAAATTTCAACAATAGTTTGACCAATAGGTTATGCCACCAATTTCAATGCCCACTGGAGAAAATATAAAGAGGCTCGTAACTTTTTGTATGTCTAGGAAACATATTACTTTAAGAGAAATTTGAGTTAGCCGGTCACTAAAAGAGTCCTCCTATAAAATCATACTTCAAGTACAAAAGCAGATTTTTTAAAGGAATTTTGACTTACTCTGTGTTCCCATGCTAATGCTATCTAAAGATATATAAAAATTACATGTTAAATAAATTCTATACGAAAGAATCTCATTATTCTAGAGGAACAAAATATTTTTTTTAGTTTAGTTTGAAATATTTTTCAACATGTTATTTGCTACAGATAACATGTTGAAATTTTTGTTCAATGGTCACTTACTGAAAAATTCCCCCCACAAAATCACAGACCAAGGACGAAAACATATTTTTTTTACAATTTACAATTATTATGTGTCCCTTGTCCCCTTATATAGAGATACCGATCAATAGGTCGAATTTCAAGATATTTCGCAGAATGTGAATTTGTGTATTGATAACAAAAATATGATTCACAGCGGTTACGCCGTGCTTGTCAATTTCAATTGGCCGACATATATATATATATATATATATATATATATATATATATATATATATATATATATATATATATATATATATATATATATATATATATATATATATATATATATATATATATATATATATATATATATATATATATATATATATATATATATATATATATATATATATATATATATATATATATATATGTATATATATATATATATATATATATATATATATATATATATATATATATATATATATATATATATATATATATATATATATATATATATATATATATATATGTATATATATATATATATATATATATATATATATATATATATATATATATATATATATATATATATATATATATATATATATATATGATGACACTATATTCGAACACAGTGTTCGAAGTGTTTTCGGAGCGCGAGCATTGAAGATGCCAAGTGAGATTTTGGCGAAACGTCTGCAGGATTCCAGTCGGATGCAAGATTTGCAGGATTCCAGTCGGAGTTCAACGAGCGAACGGATGATATCCCGGAATATAGTGTCATCATATATATATATATATATATATATATATATATATATATATATATATATATATATATATAAATTGATAAATGGATGATATTTCGAGAACACGTCTACATATATATATATATATATATATATATATATATATATATATATATATATATATATATATATATATATATATATATATATATATATATATAGTCAGTTAGTAATTGTTCACGTCATAATTCATTGTACAGATGTAACATGACCATGCGGAAAGGTTACGCGCAATATTTATTATCAGTTGTTTATAAATGTTCAACGTTTTGATGTTATCTAATATGCCCATATGTTGATTTACATCTTACATTGCGATTTTTTTTTTCATTTTCTTTGTATTCTAGATGGTGGATATTTTTCTTATAGTATCAAAGATGCCCCCAAAATTGCACTTGATAGAACAAACTTCTAAATACGGGCTTACTCAGACTCAGACGTATTTTCCCAGCTGTACTAATTCGTGTAAATTTAAAACGCATAAAAATTTTACAAGATATTATAATTTTACCAATACTGTACATCTTTTTACCACGATGTACCGAATTCTATTAATCAATAAATGTGAATGCATAAGAAAAAATATAAATTATCTACCAATTATTAAGTGGAATAGTAGAAATTTTATTTTATTTGTTTACTTATTTTAATATAATATTTGAGCAATAAGGATAATTATTATAATATTTTTCTACTCACGTGTGATAAAAGTAAGGAGTAAATGTGACGTTTTAAAAAATAATATTTACGGACATAATGATATTGTTCCAGACAGTAGTGATCTTTCTTTCAGATTTAGGTTAATAATAGTGATCAGTACCGAATACAGAAACAATTCAAGAAAAAACACTAATCTTCATCATAAAATGAAAACTGAAAAGTAAGATGTTTATAAAAATCATTATACACTCACGAGTGTCTCAACTAGGTTACGACTAAAATATATTTTATAAAAGCTTTTGGATAATATATTATTGCCTTAGACAACAAAAGTAGCATTTAAAAAGCACTATGGTATAGATTTAAATATCAGGATGGCTGCTACTTGGTATCTTGGTAAATAACTTTTCAAATGTTTTGGTAAATACCCATATTTCAATCTCGAAAATTAAAATAAAAAGACGTGCCTGGTATCGAATGAACGCTCCTAGATTAAAATTCAACCTTTTACACAATGCGATTGTAAGACTACAATTATCAGTCGTTGTGGACTCTAAATGATTTCGTTGTTATCGAAGTTACCGTATTAAAATAAAGACAATTTTAAATAGATTAGATCGTATGGATAATGCTGAAAAAACACTTGACAAGTTTCGTATAAATACGAATACAAACCAACCACGAATCAGAGCCATTAAGAAATCATGATTCGATTATTTCTAAGTTTTCTATTTATTTCATTGGCGGTAAGTGATTTTTAAAAAATTTACTTCGTTGTGTGGTTTAAAGTAGTATCTCAATATCAAAAGATTGGTTTTCGAAATCCTTTGATAGAAGATTTCTACTAAAATTTGCACGTTTTTGTAAAAGTCTGTTTATACAAAATTACAAAAATAAAAATTTCATACATTATTAAACTAAAATTGTAATCGCATGTTGATTATAACTTCGAGTAATCTAATTCTTATTTATTAAATACGCTCTACCTCTCGTTTGTTTTCAGCGTTCAGACCTTATCGTCGAGCTGCCAGATGGAACAATTAGCGGAACCCAAGTCACTACTGAATATTACAGCTTTAACGCCTACCGTGGAATTCCATTTGCCAAGCCACCATTAGGATCATTGAGATTCCAGGTAAACAAAAGCTATTCATTCACGCTTAATATGGTTGGAACAAAACACCTGATACTAATGCTCCCATTTTGATAGGGACCGGTACCCAATGACCCGTGGAACGGTACATTAGACGCTACTGAAGTAAAATCTTGCTGCATTGATTTGTTTGGATCTGGATCACAAAGCGAGGATTGCTTATATCTTAATGTTTATACCCCATCTCGAAACGTAAGTAAAATCATATTAACACACATCTTTCTAGTATTATAAAAATAATACTTCTTAAACTGAATTAAATATTGGGAAATAAACTCTGCGTTGAGGCAACCAACTTTTAGTTTACAGAAAAACTGCCGGTTATGTTCTGGATATACGGTGGGGGATTCACAAGTGGTTGTGCTACTGAGACCACCTTTGGTCCCTTCCCACTAGTAAACGAAGACGTTATAGTGGTCACATCGAACTACCGGCTTGGTGTATATGGTTTCCTGTCCACTCAAGACGACGCTGTTTTGGGCAACGCGGCCTTCAAGGATCAACTGCTCGCCATGAAATGGACGAATAAAAACATTGAATATTTCGGTGGGGACCCGGAAAAAGTCACCATTTTTGGCCAAAGCGCCGGAGGAATGTCTGTCGGTGCACATCTTGCAAATAAAAAATCAGCTGGGTTGTACAGAGCGGCAATTTGCCAAAGCGGCTGCTCTTTGTCTCATTTTATCATGACCACCCAACCAGATCCAAGAAAGGGTGCCTACGATATTGCTAAAGCAATAGATCCGACCATTACTGACCAGAATACCACGTACGAGATACGAGACTTTCTCCAAAGTCAATCTACAGATGTGATCAACAAAGCATTTACCGCCAATCCATCGGTAAGTATAAAAAATATATAGCTCATTATAAAAGAGATAAATTTACGAAGTTTTTGCAAATATTTTTTACTTATATCAGTGAAATTAGCGATGTTGAATATATTAACTTAATAATAATAATAATATTAATAATAATGGTAATATAAATAACCATTCAGCGAAATGCTGAGCTATTGCAATGATAGTTACATTAGTCGTTTTTCTCCAGACGGGACCAGTCATTGAAGCAGATAACGAAGACGCGTACGTAACCGAATACAGTTTCGATAACATAGCATCCGGAAACTTTAACCAAGTTCCCACAATCATAGGAACAACATCAGCAGAGTCTCTTACGTATCTGGCATGTAAGAAAATGCTAATTTTGAAATTTAGTCCAATCTTGTTAATGAATAATCGGGTTTTAGTACCGCAATTGGTTCAAGCTGTAGCTATTTTTTACGACTTGGATAACGCCGTATTATTACCTTCGAACCTCACACCTCAGCCAGGGGCAAACGTGCAGGAAATTGCGAACAAAATCAAACTAGCTTACACAGGCGGTGGCTCATTTCTCTTCAATCTCGCAGCAGTTGTAGAGGTAACTATCTACATTCGTTTCACTACTACCATTTTGGCATTTTGGAAAAATATGAAATAACGACATTTGTTACTAATAATCAAATCACCAAAAAAGGTTTCTCAATACCAGCAATTTATATATGAAGTACATAATCCAACCCATGTAAAAATAGGACTCTGCTACTTGGAGTCATATTTTAGTTATCCCAAGCGGATCTCATTTAAAGTATTGATGTTTTCAGTACACCAGCGATAACTTGTTCGTAAGGTCATCTCTCAAGCAAGCTCAACTTCAATCCAACTACACACCGGTCTATTTTTATCAATTTTCATTTTCGGGAAACATTGGTCTACTGCACACTAAAATTCCGGGTACGTAGTTTCTCATGACGCAATAACTTGATAATTAATATTGCGCGTCTGCATGGTAGGCACTGGCAGTGTAGGACATGCCGAAGATATAGTTTACCTCTTTAACTCGACATTGCCCCTGAGCACAGCTGACGAATTCCAAACCAGGAACAGATTAGTGAGACTTTGGGCCAACTTCGCGAAGACCCTGTGAGTATTATTGACTTTAATTTCAATTTATAAGTACTAGATGGTTATACCAATAACTTATACGATTTGATATGTTTAGGGATCCTACTCCGGATGAATCGGATCCGCTGATCAACTTAAAGTGGCCTCAAGTATCGGGATCCTTTATTCCGTACCTAGATATCGATAAAGATCTTGAAGTGAAACTCGGCAAGAAGGTTATTGAAATGGCGGTTTGGAACGACGTTTACTACAATTATGGAGAGCAGCCTTTTGTCGGATTCTAGATTCAATGTTGGTTTTTGAAATGAAGCAATTCATTCGATATATTTCTTAAGATCAATAGAAATAAAATTTAAACAAATTAAGGGTTTTTAAGTAATTCCCCTAAGCAATTCCATTGATATGATAGAAATAAATGTAATACTCATATACTAGTTCCACAATAATATTTGAAGAAACATTATCCAGACATAGAACATCGAAAAACATCTTCTGTTAGAAAAAACTATTGTTTAGTGTTTTATGTCCCAATCCTCTGCGGAAAATCTGTGCTAACTTAGCGATAAGGTTTTCCGGAGGCAGTCACCTCTAATGTTCTCAAATACGTCAACTTCAACTACCAAATTCTGAAGATTCCCCACATCGATGCACAGCAGTAAACTGAGTCTCAAAAAATTGTATTGTTATAAGTAGTTTTCATTCCCACCAAATATAAAATATTATCGAATCAGAGCCATTGAAAAGACCATGTATCGATTAATTACAAGTTTTCTTTATTTCATTCAGGAAATGTAACTGATTGTATAGTTTAACATAGTATATCTATAGGCAAAGATTAGTTCCCGCTCTTGTAAAATACTTATAGAGCTTAAATTTATGGGTTGAGACATACATTTTCGGTTTCCATAGAAACTGCCTGTTGTGTTCTGGGCATACGGTGCGCAGCTGAGTCTACTTTTGGTCCTCCTCCGCTCGCGAACGAAGACCACATCGAACTACCGACTTGGCAAATATGGTTTCGTGTTCACTCAAGGTGATGCTATTTTGGGCAAAGCAGCTTTTAGGGATCAATTATTCGTCGTGAAAGGAAAACAGAAAAATTTCTAATATTTTGGTGGGAACCCGGAAAAAGGGATCATCTGTCTAATTTTCTACCAACCACACGAGCCGTTCCCAGAAAGGGTGCTTGCGATATTGCAGATCAGAACACGACCGTTAAGATACGGAACTTCCTCGACAGTTGACCAGCTGATGTAATAAATACTGCGGATTACACTAGTAATGTATCATTTATTTGGCTCATTCTGTTACAAGTGAACGGCTAAAATAGGGAACAAATTTATTTAAAAATAGGAATTCGATTTCAAGACAAATGATCCTACTCATGATAATTTTTTCTTGTTCATTTTTGCAATAAATATCAAAGCCCACTTTCGAATTTTTCGAATTCTATGTCAAATTTCGCGCATAGTTTATGTTTTATTCCCTAGCCTACCTATATTTTGCTTTTTTTGAGCAAAATTATAAAAAACAGAAATTTAATTTGGAAATAAACCGACAAAACGAGAACTTAAAGAGTTTTATAACTTGTTTAACAAAATATCAATAAATACCCATTACAAGATCCACAGTGACAATTGAGAGAAAATTTATGGAGACAGGGCATGTAAAAGATCATCTAGGTCAAGGTCCTCCAAAAATTAATGGAATACAAGACTTATCCCCATCGTGGATGACTCCAGAAATGTACAGCTTAAAATAACAGAAAATGATACCTAACATCCACAAAAATTATTGGCCCTTATTTCTTGTAAAACAAAATTCGGACAATTTCAAGTTTAGAATTAGAATCACGAAATACCAATTAATAAAAATATTCTGGATAATGTTTTTTTTTGGGGGGGGGGGGGGATTAAATGCTTAGCGCATTGTCAAGAAGATAATGTTTTTTATTCTTTATTCTTGGGCTTACAAAAATTAAGAGATAGGAATGGGGTACGCTACATGAGTTATGCGTGAAAATTGTATCAGAATTCGAAAATGGATTTAAACATATGGTATTCCATTTTAAAAGAAGGGAAATTTGTAACGGTATCTCCTTTTTGGCATATTTACTGCAAAAGATGTGTATGAGCATTTTTCTTGAAATGTAATAATTGATTTTTAATAATTTTGTTCCATATTTTAGCCGTTCACTGTGTAATGCTGATATTGGGAATCGAAATTTAAATAATGTAATATTTTAATACACATTAAAACCAACCAGAAATAATCATTCGTTACTGATGAATGGAATCGCAGATAATCGATTGAGTGGATCAAATGGCAATTTTATTCTATAATCAAATCAACTGAACTATCCTTTCTTTTTCATATACTGATAATGAAGACGCGTATGTAACCGAATACAGCTTCAATAACATTAACACTATCATAAGAATGACATCAGCAGAATCGTTTACCTATCAAGCATGCAAGGCAGTATGATTTAGGAAATGATTTAGGAAATTATTCGTAAGTTAGGTTTTTTTTGCAACAAACACAATTTAAATTCCCGAATTATTGTTTTTTTTTGTGATTATTAGTAAGTGTTACTAGGAAACATTCATGACTTCTTAAATGAGTTCAATTCATACTGGTAATAACTACTTCGGGCTGGGGGTTATAATTTGATTCCACCAACCGAGTTTTTTGTATTAATGTTTTCAGTACAAAAGCGATAAATTGTTCATCTCAACTTCCATATAACTAACACAACTCACTGGTGAATTACTATTCAATTCGCACTTTCAAAAACATTGATCTACTGCACACTAAACTGAATTCTTGTTTCTCCTCTGTGTAAAATCATTAAGATTACCTACTATATTACGTAACAAAGCAAAAGCTGGGTCCTCTTCGCGTATCTACATAATCCTGGCATAAATGTATATAACACGTAGGTAGTTTTGCAATTTTTCCCTTTTTATCCTATTTGCTGAACAGTAGTTTTGTAGTAAAACATTTTGGGTGAATTTTGATTTGTAATTTTAGCAAGAATCGTGATACACATCATTTAAACCTGATTTTGAGAATGATCTAATGTTGAAAGGTATATTTTACTTTATTTTAGAAAATAATTGTCAAAATTGGCTTACGGTTTTATTATCAAATCGCGGAATTTCTTGGCAGCTTGCAATTCGACACGCACCATCTCGAATTATCATAAGGAGTCGTATTTTTCTGGTCAAAGCAGATGCATACTCCAAAATATTGTGAAATCGGGCTTCTTCAGAAAAGTTGTTTTTTTTAGTAATAAGATATTAATATCGACCTTTGATTTTATTGACTTTTTAATCAGCATAATGTGCGATTGTCTGTCAAGTAATTATTTACAGGTGGATTGAAATAAAAATGGCGAAATTCGTCAGTGTGATCGCTATCATTAGATAACACATTGGAGATGACACGAGGAGCCCGGTGTAATTTATGAACAAATAACAATTTTTTTCCTTAATGGTAATTGTTGATTGACAACAAAATGGTGGAAAAGAGTAAACAAAAATTGCAAACGGTTTTCGGATTTCTATGTCTAAAAAAAAAGTTGCCAAAATTCGTATTTATAAATGTTAATTTTTAAAAGAGTTTATAAATTATTGTATAAATTATAATGTAGTGAAATTGGTAAAAAATGATTTCGAACCAATTTTGTCATCATTAACAGTTGGATACCATTTAAGAAAAATCAGTTTCAGTTTCGTTACTAATACTTTCTCACTTTTACAATGAATTTGTTATATTCAGCTTATATTTAAAATAGCTGTAATTACTGAAAGTTTCAAGAGTCACATAAAAAAAGCACATTTTATAAAATAAAATAAAAGAGAAACTGCTAGTTACTAAAATGCGATCAATTATTTTTTTCTTTCGATGTATCAAGATCAGATTAGCCTGATATCGAAACTTGAACTGCTTGTGTCTTTCGTATAAATACGACGAAAGCGAAACCTCAAGGCAATGAAATTAACAATGCATCGATTCGTGGCTATAGTCGCCTTTGTCTCTGTGTCTGTGGTAAGAAAATAATCCAAAATATAGTTCTTTAAGGGTTCCATTAAACCAATTAATAGAATTTAAATAAATATGTAATAAAATTTTTAACATTTGAAAGATCGAAAACGGTAACGTAATGTATTTTTGTATACAGTATCAAAGCTGAAAATTATAGTTACTACGCTTATCGAGGTATTCCATTCGCAAAACCTCCACTAGGAGAACTGCGATTCCAGGTAAAAATATTAAATTGGGAACAAGTATGTTGTAGGCCCGCGTATCTAATGAACCATGGGATGGAGTTTTAAATGCAACAGCAACAAGAAGTTGTGGCATACCAATGACTGCGGGTGCAAATGGGGATGACGACAGCGAGGATTGCCTATTTATTAATGTCTTAACTCCTGCACGTAATGTAAGTTTAGAAACAGTAAATAGTAAATAGTCAAGCTATCAGATTTATTGAATCAATTAACATGTTAAGAAATGAAATTCTGTTAAGTTTCCTATTGCAGTTAGATTGCTTTTAGACTACGGAAAAATTGCCAGTAATGTTCTCGATATTTGGTGGAGGATTCTCAATCGGATGCGCCTCAGACTTCATTTATAGACCATATCCACTAGTAAATGAAGACGTTATAGTGGTGATGGCCAACTATCGTCTAGGAGTATTTGGTTTTCTGTCTACAGAAAAACATCGAATATTTCGGTGGCCATCCTGAAGAAGTAACAATATTTGGAGAAAGTGCCGGCGGTATGTCCGTTGGGGTCCATATCGCTAACAAAAAATCGGAGAGACTGTACAGGGCGGCGATCTGTCAGAGTGGTTGTTCTTTAGTGAATCTAACTCAAACTCAACCGGACAGTCCTAGAAAAGCCACTTACGATATTGTAAGATCTGTAAATCCACTCATTTCGGCGACGAGTACAACCGAGGAAGTCAGAGATTTCCTGCAAAGTTTTCCGGCGGATACACTGGTGCAGGCATTCCAAGCAAATCCTCAAGTTAGTATCTGTTCACCAATTAATTGAACGAATGATGCAAATTTGAAATCTAATAATTTTTCCACTGTTTGTTTCAGACCGGACCGGTAATCGAAGTACCGGACCAAGATGCGTACATCACGGATCTTAGTTTCGGGCTTTTGGAATCAGGCAATTTTAACCAAGTTCCTATCATAATCGGTACCAATTCAGCGGAATCACTTCCTTTTGTTGTCCGTAGGTGACACGATGCAAAACAAGGTGGAATCATCTTACCAAATTTGTTTTAGTGACACGCGGACTGCTCCTTTTGAGTTCACTGTTGCACGACACGACCCCGTCAATAGTT